TTAAATGTCTTCTTTATTTTCAAATTTCAAGTAAAAGAAAATAAATATAAGTGAAAAACCAACAATTTTTTTTAAACTCATGTATATATCTATTTGATTTCACTTGAGCAATACAAATAGTGTGTAATATATCTCTATTTGATTTCACATGTTATTCGTACTGTTCAGGTGAAATCAAATAAATATATACATGGATTTAAAAAAATTATTCACACACATGATCAATAAAAGATGAAAAAATTCATTTTGAAAAATGTGAAGGATGAAAAAATTCATTTTGTGAAATGTAAGGGACGAAAAAATTTATTTTATGAAATGTAAGGGATTACAAATCGAATTATATAAAATTTGATTTGATAAATTTGTCCTTAAAATATGATCACGTGCAAAAGCACGTGGTGAATTCTGATCAAAAACTAGTCGGAAAGCTAAGTAGGGACCAAATTTGATCAATGTGAATTTGTAAAGGACGTAATACATTTTTAAAAGCGAGGGACGAAAAAAGTTATTTTGCAAAATATGAGGGACGTTTTGAACGATTTTTCCATTTTTTTTGGGGTTAAGCATCCAGATTTATCTTGCGCTACTCCTATATTGTGGGAAGGAGAGTGCCCAAAGGAGTTGTGTGAAGGCACAAGAATATAGATACACGTACGATCATTATTACAAGTACATGAATTTAGAAGTTATATGAAAGAACTAGTAAATTCCAAGAGATACATGAATCTAAGAATGAATCTAAAAGGGAATGAATGTATTAATGAAGCTTAGGAAAAATGCATGGAAAACACTTAAATTTAATGCACAATTTCCAACACAAATATGTTATAATCAATAGGAAAAATGACCGGTTTCATCCCTCACCTTTCACAAAAATATTCTTTTCATCCCTCACTTTTAAAACGAAGCAATTTCATCATTAACATTTAAAAATTGAAGTTATTACATCCCTGAACCCAATTTTCAATCTAAATCAAATCACTTATCAACTTGATTACAAATTTTGGGGGTATAATTGGTAGATCATTTAGTTAACTCAACTTGATATTCAATTGAAATTTAATAAGCCACAAAAATAAAAAATTATAACATAAAAAAGAACAATTAATTTTTTCCTACATTATCATTTTATACACTGACGGGTTTATGTACCTGTCACATTATTTCAATTTAAATTTAAATACCAAATTTTGTATTTGTGATATACATCTAGACTCGCAAGCGTATATACTAATGATGCATGAAAAGATTTATCCAAAAAAGAAACCCTACTATTCCAGAACAAAGAATGACCTTTTATGTTATAATTTTTTATTTTTTTTGGTTTAATAAATGTCATGTGAATGTGATGGAGTTGACTGAATGATCCATCAATTCTAACTCCAAAATTTATTATAGAATTATTGGATAGTTTGATTCAGATTAAAAATTTGGTTCAGGGATGTAATAGTTTTAATTTTTAAATATTAGGGATGAATTTGTTTCGTTTTAAAAGTGAGGGACGAAAAGAATAATTTTGCAAAATGTGAGGGATGAAATAGATCATTTTCCCTAATCAATATGCTTGTTCACATTATACACTTCTATCTAATTTGAATGTCTAACTTCTCTAGCTATTTCTTCCATAAGAATATTAACTCTATTTAAACGAAGATTTTAAACTAGAAATATTCGTTTGTACATTTTATACACCAAAAAATGATGGTCATATGTTGTAAAATCTTTTTTGAGTTCACTGGGCTAATGTAGCAAAGTAAGTTCCTCATTTTCTCTAAAAGCGAAATATGTTTTCAGCTTTCTCTTAATATCTACATTGAAATATCTATAATTGAGTTAATTAAGATACTCGATAATTACTAGTATGAAACAAAATGAAAGTTAAAGCTTTACTTCAATAAACGAGTTGAAATATATAAAAATCATGTATCAACTATCAAGCTTTATTCTAAGCGCAAAGGGTAAAGAACATATTGATGGATAGAGTACGAGTAAAAATTGCAGTTTTTAGTCCTATGTATGCTTGGCTAGTCTTACTATAGCTTAGTATGTTTCACTTTAGATAATATTTTCTTCCTTAAGAATTGCATACTTCTCATTTAGATCTTCAATTCTTAATTTTTCTTGACATATTTGATCCCTCTTATTTCTAACATTATACTCTTGAAAGGCATGTTGGATGCTGGAGGAGTGGACTTTTAGTGCAAAATTCATAAAGATAAGAGACCGAATTTAAAAATTTAAAAGGTAAGGACTAAAGTTAAAATATTTATACCTTAAAGAATCATGTATGGTAAAGATGCAATATGGGGAACTAACAATGAAATTATTTTGTCATACGAGGAACCAAGACTGGTTCTTCCTACATTTTCTTTAATTTGTACTTTGCCCCATATGTGGTAGACAAATCACATCATAGTTTTCTGCCTCCAGAGAATTTGAAATGTATCACAATGTGGCTTGTTATATAATGAGAATTTTAGTGTATCAAATGCTCTTGAAAGAATTGTAATATACGAAATAGTTATGTTCGCATTTCTATTTTTTTGGAGTTTTTTCTTGAAAAATGTATTATAGCAATTTAATGTATGTATCAAAAAAGTAATTGAAAAATGTATTTGCGAAAAACGTAAATTATTTATACACACTAATTTGCTTGCATCATCAACACATTTTCCAATTACCTTTTTATCTCGCATACATCATATCAAAAAAATGCTACAATACTTTTTCACAAAATTATCTCAAATAATTTACAATCCAAACACAAGGTTAGAGTAAAAAAACTAGGTTAGAATAGATTATACAATAATTATTGTCTCTGAAAAAAAAGACTAGGTTAGAGTAAAAATGTTGAAGAAGGATGTCATGAATATACTTTTGGTCACATATATAACAAAACACCATTGAAAAGCCTATAAAAATTATCTTACATGGTGTTTTTAAACTTCAAATGAAAATTGTTAAGTTTATAACTAAAATTTATAAGATCTATTTTGATGAAATTAGCATAGGAGCATAAGCGTTGCACATAGTGGGCATTTGTTTTAGGAATAGGTACTAAGATAATTTTTTTAAAATTAATTAAAAAGAATAGAAATTTAACTGTTTAAATTTCATATTGCTATCAATTTTCTCCTCCAACAAAACATATAAATCATTTGTTTAACAAAACCTTATCGATAGTACATCTTAGTAGCAAATTATAGAAAAGGGTTAGCTATATTGCCAAAACAATTATGTTCTTGCCAGAGCAATTTCACTCTAAATAATAGTAATACCCTCACAAACCAAGCGTAACCATATTTTGTATTGGAAAGATCCACGGAATAAAACAAGCGCCAAAATTGAAACCCAATCTAAAGTGAGACTTGACTCATTTCTAGTTGATTCTCTCTCCATTTTCCGCAGTATTCATCTAGATGTATGATACGTATCTTCATTTATTAACAAGAGTTAGGATTAGTCAAATTTAAATTGACCATGTCCTCTCTTAGTAAGTGAAGACGTGTGTCATACATCTAAATACGCATTTTACGAAATGAAGAAAGAACTCACTAGAGAGTCAGCCAAATCCTTCTAAAGTTATGTCAGCAATTTCTATCATATTTTGTATTGTAGATTCACAATTAGACAATTAATCATTTCATAGTTGAGAAGGGTCCATCTGACGTCGTCTTACAAATTTGTTCATTTTCATTAGGTAAGACCTACAGCTTGGGCGTCCTAGTTTTTGCAAGTGGAACCACATTATTGTTACTTGTTACCCTTACTTTCTCATTTGGCTAAAGTTAACTAAGCATTAGCCAGCATGTGTGATGAAAGTGGGGCATGACTTGAAAAGATTATTAACTGACAGTTAATATCCCTAACCTATAAAAGACTAATTGAGACCTGATTTGCTGTAAAAAATCATAATCTCAACCTTTGGAAGCTCTATAAAAAGATAACATACTCATTTATAGTCTTGATATACTAGCACAAAGTGTTATCAAGTAGTAGTAAAGAGAAATTTACCCTAAAGAGAAGCAAAAAATAGATTACGAGTTGAAGTCCATTCTCATCAATTCATCACAATTCACAAGTATTTAGAACAAATCATAGTTGAGATTAGAAACTAGAGAAATGCATACGTGAAACCGTTGCTAAAATTTGGGCCTTACAAGATCAATACAATGTGGGTTGAGGTGAGAGAGAGTCCAAAATGTCCCATAAACATTAAATGAGTCTATTTTTCAGCTTGAGAGGAGCATATGCGCTTACGCATCGTCCCTAAGAGCCCAGTTTTTTAGGACGCCGTAGAACCCCATTTCCTGTTTGTTTTGGTAGTTCCAACGTTTAATCGTTTATGTGTTTCCGTCCGATGTTGGCAAAATGTGATTCCTATTTTATCCAATTAAATTTCATTCATGTATTTAGAAAGAGTGAGATTACTTTTTTTGGTTCTTCGCATCACGAAGAATTTAGTTAGCTGCACTTTTTTTTTAACTATGAAAATATCCAAATCCCATTTTTTTTTCTTTTGATTATATGTTAATTAGCCCAAAATTCATTGTACTCACTCGACATAGCGTATAAATAAAGGCATTGACCCATTGTACAATTGTGAAATTTATACTCATTTTCCCTCCAATTTGGGTATTTTATCCCTAGCTCTATAAATCATCTAAAACATATGGTGTGGAATTCAAAAATGGAAAATTAAATATTCATACAAACATATCACATTTAAAGCTCTTTGGAGAATCAATTATTTTACTAATGCCCTTTCGAGCAATTAGCTCAAGCAGCAGAAAAACCAAGTTGCAGACATCCTTCTTAAAGGAACTCAAGTCTCATACTTCATTCTTTGCAAAAATTCTCTTACTTGAAGAAGTAAAATGTGATTCTGAAAATTTAGCAAATCTAAATCCAAACCTAAGATTGAGCAGAAAAGAGATGATCATAGAGGTTTCCAAATTGGGCTATCATATTCTTCCAAGAATCATGAGCTCAAACATAAATTGTCAATCCAAAATGATGGAGTTTGAACCTCAAATAGAAAAAAAAAAAAAAAAAAACAAAAGATAACAAAGTTCCTTGACGGCAAATTGAAAGAAATAGCACAAAACCATCATTAAATTCAGCAAAACGAAATTACACAAAATAGGCCAACAGCAAAATATCTGAATAATCTCATTGATTGTTTCCACCATATCTTGACAAGAGAAGAGCCATTGATCCTTTCCAACTTTTACCTCCATCTTCCACAAAAGTATCAAAGAAAGCCAGACCGCACAGATGGAACAATTACAATCTCAAGAGGAAAAACCACCGTAGCATGCACTCCCCTGATGATCTCATTAAGAAAAAAAAAAGAACAATTAATAATTAGTTGTTTGCTCATCAATTTCAATGTGCTCGTGCATGCATTACAGGCAACTACTGAAGTACAAAAAAGCTACCAAATGGTAAATATAAATTAAACTTGTTTAAAAATAAAAAGCATGATTATTTCTACAAGCCAATTGATGGTGATGACAAAAAAAAATAAAAATTACCAGGTATTGCACCAGCTGATGCCCTTCAATCTATGATGATGATCTTCAAATTCTCATTTCCATAATCTTTCTGTTCGGCTTCAATTTTCCGCACTAAAGATTTGACGCCATCTCTGCAAGAACTCACCTTAATTTCTTCAAGAGTAGATATACTCTCTAAACAAGCAGGCATCATTTTCAAATTAGAAATATCGTGGAGCTTTAATTGCTGAAGGCACGGGAAGTAATCACCACTGTCAGGGTCTGCCTCCATCCACTCCGCAACTTTTACACAGTCCAAAGTCAAGACCCTGAGTTTAGGGAATCCTCCTTCCATCAGCTCCCATTTTTGGCCCTCCATTGACTGGACTCTTAATTTGAGGACTTCAAGATTGGGTAGTCGTTCAATCAATGACATTTTACTACAGGGAAGACCCAGACCGTAAAGACACAACTTCTTCAAATTCATGGGAAAGGGAGGCTCAACATGTTCCCATGAACCTGAGGAGTAATTGCCCCACCAGGTGAGTGATTCTAGGCAGTCTAGTCGACTCATGTTCAACACTCCATTTCCAGTCTGTTCATCGGAAATTTTAAGTCGGCGAACGTTGGGAATCCTTCTCAATAAGTTCTCTCCCTCTTTATAAAGACGCAAACAAGAGAGTGTGTCTAAATTGGGTAAAGTGGAGAGGTTTTCAACACCGTTGTCGTTGGAAGAAAGACCAATAACGAGGTGTGTTACATGTACATGCCTCAACTTCTTCATGTTCCAGATGCTATCTGGCAATGAAACCATCTGGTGAGAATTTAGACTGAAGGTTTCCAAATGTGAGAGCTTGGCTATAGATGGTGGAATGAATTGCATTTCCAAAGCTCTAAGGGCTAGGTACCTCAAACGAAGAAGTGATTCCACTTCAGCTGGAAGCCACTTCAGCCTTAGGTTAATGCCCTCTAAATTCAGAACATTAAGATGTTTGTAGATGCAAAAAAGGAAGGAGATGTCACGCAACTTAAACTTGTCATATACTGAAGTAACTTCAAAGAATAGCAGAGTACCTAAATGCGGACAAAATAGCCTTGATTTTATAAAATCCTCGCCACTGGAGCAAATGGACAACCGAGGTAGGTTGGGAGGCTCATTAAAGGTAGAAAGCTCATCATATCCTCGCAGGACCTGAAGGAATTTCTTTTCTTTCGCCTTGCCCTTACAGAACTCAAATATCAAATCGTGAATGTAACAAGTTTTGACTCCACCAATGGATCTGCTTTTACTTACCATAACCAGGTTTCGGCCAATTAGGTCCATCAAATATTCTTCTGCAGTATCCTCTGATCTCTTTCCTTCAATTATTTCCACAAACCCTTCTGCAATCCAGAGACGCATCAACTTCTCGGCACCAATTTTTTCATCTTCTCGAAATGCAGCAAAATACAACAAGCATGCCTTCAAGTGATATGATAAATGCTCATAACTGAGCTCCAACGACTTCTTCCACTGGTCTGTACCAGACACCATGGTTGAAGTAAAACTTTCAGCAAACTTTTTCCAAACCAAAATATCATGCTCTATAGTTGCTAGGACTCCAGCTACAACAACAAGTGCAAGTGGCAATCCCCAGCACTTTTCAGCAATCTCCATTCCCAATCCATGCAATGCTTGAGGACATTCTTCTTCTTCTCCAAACACCTTCTTCTGCAGCAATTCGAAACTTTGTTTCTCACTGAGTGGGTGAAGATAGTGAGGTTCTCCACCATATTGAACCTGTGAAGCTACATTAGAAGATCGACTAGTGAAGATGATTCTACTTTGGTTTTTGTCATCTGGGAATGAAATTCTCAGCTCATTCCATACCTTAATGTCCCAGACATCATCAAAAACAACAAGATACCGATTCTTCAATAGCCTTTGACGGAGCTTTTCAAGCAAGTCATCTTCATTCAAGTCATCATCCATCCTAGAGTGTTTTCCATCAGAGCATAAAATTTGTGTTAACAAGCTTTTCTTGTTAAATTCTTGAGAAACAGTACACCAAAGGCGAATGTGGAAGTGACATTTTACTGAAGTATCATTGTAAACTTTTTTGGCTAAAGTCGTCTTACCAAGCCCAGCCATTCCCACTATGGGAACAATTTCCACCTGTTCTGATCCCCATATAAGTCGTTCAATTACTTTTTCTGCCTCATCATCAAGACCAACCATGACTTCATGGTCTCTCATTTTACCTTTTGATAGCATGCGGCTGGAAGTCTGGCTAACTTCTGGTGCTCTTAAGCTATGAGAGGAATTAGGAAGACTCTGTATAGTACTTGAGACACTGAGCTGATCCTCAAAATGCTTGATAAGTGGTTCAATTACTTTTTCTGCCTCATCATCAAGACCAACCATGACTTCATGGTCTATTGGCATTTTACCTTTTGATAGCATGCGGCTGGAAGTCTGGCTAACTTCTGGTGCTCTTAAGCTATGAGAGGAATTAAGAAGACTCTCTATAGTTCTTGAGCCACTGATCTGATCCTTAAAATGCTTGATATGGATGTTGGTATTGGCCAGCATACCACGAAAACGAAGAACCTGGATGGATCTTGAGAAGCTAACTTCTCCTTCTATCACTCTACTCAGAGTGGGCGCGAATATTATAATGCCTGCCTCACCCAGGAGAGCTCCAATTTTTTCATTTTGTTCATCCATCATCTCATGATGCTCCCTTAAAATGCTTCTCAAAAACCTCAGTCCTGCATAGAGTATTCGCATTTGATCTTTCATAGAATCCACAAAGCTAGAGCTGCAGCACAACAACTCCCAGAGACGACCTATCAGAGAATCATTGAAGTTGTTCAATATCCGCTCATCCATCACTGCTCTATGTAATGATGCTGAGGAGTTTGAAGCTGCAAGTACTTCCTTATAAATCTCGTAGACATGAAAATCAACCGCTCTGATGCTGAGGAGTTTGAAGCTGCAAGTACTTCTGTAGAAGAACTCAGGATTTTCAATTTCCTCATGATCATCCCAAAAAGAACACATGTAAGAGAGGCGTGCTGCGGTCAAAGCCACCAGTTCAAAGTGAGCCAATAGCAAGGCGGGAAAATCTGCAGTTCCTCGCATTTTGGCAAAGGGAATGAAGCTTTTCAAGAATGTCAGCTTTGCTTCAAGATCTTGGACTTGAGCACTCAAAGCAGCATAAATAGACCATTTATTAGTAATTTTCCAATTCATATCGTCATTTGTCAAATCTGCTAGATTTTGCAGGATGAGGTCTATGAATTCCAACAGTTCATTATCTGTCATACAAGAATTTGATTGAAATGACCTGTTGCTTGCCAAAGTTGCCAAAGCAAAGTAAATTTGGATGATTTCTTGCTTGAGTGATATGATCTCTTTCTCAATTTTGCAGAACACTCGAGCCATCTCATCATGGGAAAGAGGGTGAATATCCTCATATTTGTGAAAGGTATCTTCGATACAAGATAAGAAAGATGGAAGACTTACCCTCTTCACAACATTGTCAGATTGCAAGTACAAATGAACAAGGCTCCACTTTCTAGCACACGTAAGAAATGTTTTGAGAAATTTCATGTCTTTGATTGCATCACCAACATAGTAATGAACATAACTGTTTCGGAATAGGTTGTTCAGAATAAACTCTAGAACAAGTAAGACACGATCGATGCTGCAAGTGGAGGCCATCTCCATCCCTTTTGGAGGGATTTTCGTCAGTTTCATTCCCATATTTTAAGAGAGAAACAAATCTCACTAACTGCAGAGCTAGCAAAGTATTTCTTTCCTGAAAATTGCTTATTTGTTTCTGGTGAGAAGGTGAAGAAGAGTATTGAGACAACCAACCATTCAACTAGGTGGAATTGGCAATGATAATCAATTATTCAACTAGGTGGAATTATTGAAGGCACCCAAAATCCAAATTTATCTTGAACTAATTACAAATGGAGGAAATTGATAAACAAGATTGGTTGACTCTGTCATCAACATTTTATTAGGGAAATTTGATATTAGGGATCACATAAAAGTCAATGTTTTAAGACAATAACAGCAGTGGTTAAGACACTTTGATGATTTTATTGTCCAAAACAAGAGTGGTCCAGACGGAGCAGCCCCTTCTCTATTATACATCTATATTATTGCCTCAATAAAGTAGTGGGTCCAATTTCATAGAATTATTGGGAATGATTAATGTATTCCATTCCCACACAATGGGTCCCTTTTCTTATTGCGCGTCCCTGTTTTAATATGTTTTTTTTTTTTTGCTTCAAGCATCCACAGTTTAATATGTTAAACTTTATAATTAGGAAGAACAGAAAACAAAGAAACATCAAAATATAAATGATCCAAGAGACGTCACAATATAAATGATCAAAAAATAATGAACCTTCAAGCTACTAGCTCTCTAATTTTCTTCCATTGTTTTCTTTCTTGAGCAAACCACTAAATTCGATCACTTTCTCTTCTAATTATCTCGTTTTAATAATCATGACCATTGATCTTGGAGATTAATAACCATGACCAACAAAGTAAAAAGTATAAGAAAAAAAAATTGAGGGCTTCTTCAACCCTTGAAATTGTGGCAGCAGAGAATTTGGGATTTCTGCAATTTCTAGTGTCAATTATATCATAAAATATATGCATTACAATAATAAATGTAAACTCTAAGATAATAAATATAAACAGTAAAATGATAACTTGCAAAATTAATGTTACCAATATACAATGGTCAAAGAAAATGATTGAATTAAAGAAGTGAAAATTGCTACTAATTAGTAGTAGTACTTCTTTTCAAGAGTCAGGACTTAAATGCACGCTCATTATTGTACACAATTATCTACTTATTTCATAAACACATTTTTCAATCATATTTTTATTTCATATATATCACATCAAAAAAATAATATAATACTTTTTAAAAAAATTATTCCAAATAATCTCATGTTCAAACACAAGTTATATGCCCATTTGAGTGTTACTTGGGCCATTGGAAATTAATTCTAGTCTTCTCATTACTCATTAGTCTTCCTTCCACATTCTGGGGGACCATTTGGAAAATGGGAGAGATGGGAGACAGGCTGTTCTTCGGGTCAGGCACGGCTAGGGAACCATCCCTTTCCTTGCTTTTTAATACAGGGGTCATGGGTATAATACCACAGACCTATTTTTAAATGTTTGATATCAATTCTTAGTATTTAAGTGGAAAACTTCCACGAGTCGACTAAGAATTAGTGGTATTAGTCTGAAGAGTTAGAACCGAAATGCGGGCAAATACCATTTACTGGGCTATTAGAAATCAAGTCGACTCTAAACGTTTGTTATATTCTTTCTTCCACATTCAGGGGGTCCATGTGAAGAATTTGACAGATTGACCGGATAGTGATCGGGTCAAGCATGGCTAGTTGACAATCCCTTTTCTTGTTCTTTAATTCAAGTTTCGGCCTTCAATTAAGGGGCAATATTTTAGATGGGAGAAGATATCATTCACAATGTGTAACCGATATCTAGCCTTGTGATTCTTACTTGCTCCATTTTTTATATGTGAGCAACTCTACTCAGGTTTTTGCCTTTTGGAGACTCAAATGATACAGTAGGAGAGGATTTGAATTCAAAATTTCATATTTATACTTTTTTTTTCTGAACCAGCCAATCCATCTATTTCCTCTTGGCCAATTGATATATGTCCCATGAATATTTTCATATTCTCTTTTGATTAAATTTAAGGAATAATTTCAAAAACCTTCCCTGAGGTTTCTAACAATTTCAATGAGATCCCTTGAGGTTTTAAAAATTACACTTACCTTTCTTGCCCATTTAAAATGACAATATTAGTCTTACCATTTTAATAAAAACTCCCTTTGCTAGGTATGCATATAGAAAGAATGATATTTATAATTATTTTTTCTTTTTCTTTTCTCTTCTTATTCCTCGTTTTTTCATAGTTTACAAGTAAAACCACAGAACTATAAACTATAAATATTGCTTCTAGTCGTTATCATTACCAAATGTTGAATTAGTGACCTTTTTTTGACAACTTTGAATCTGATCTAATCTTTTGTTGATCTTTTTTTTCTTTGCACAAAAAACAACAGTGATTAAAAAAGAAACTGTCCAAACTACTACTAAATTATTGATACCTCTAACATTTCAAAAATCTACAAATTCTAAAACAATTATGATAATACTTTCTTCTCCAACCTTCAGGGAATATGTATCCCTAGTAAAACACTATGTACAGTAGCCTTTCATAGTGATAAAACTATTGTAATAATTGTTTATTAAATAATAAATATAGGTATTGAAAATTTGATGCTTTTTTTTTATATTTGATGCTATATATTTTACAATTGTTTTGGAAAGCAATATAAACTATATAAACCAATGACATTTTAGGATGTTCATTTAAATTTTTGACCAGTTCTAAGGTTTGATTACCAAATGTATCAAATCAAGGGCGGTAAGTACAATTTTTAATACCTCAAGGGAGCTCAGTGAAATTGTCTAAAACCTTAGAGGACGTTTATGAAATTATCCCTACTTATAATCAACTTTGAAGTGCTACAATCAACATAGTGGGCAACGAGAATAAACTCCTAACTATGAAAGTACATGACTTGGAATGATTATAACAAAACCATTAATATTCTTCACCTAGGTTGCTGATAATTATTGGGCCACACAGGATCGGTTAGAGGTGGGCTGAAGTGAGAAAAAGTCCACAACACACCACAACTTTCAACTGGGGGAAGTTTTGGACTTTTTATTCAGCGTTCAAAAGGCTTAGTATATGGTGTTCGAGAGCCGTATAATTTAGTTCATTGAACCCTAGTTTTGGCCCTTTTGGGGTCAAATATTGTTTGGGGTATCCACAATTACCCTTTATAAACTCTCTCATAGTAAGAATATAATGCCTATTACATGCATAATAGTCACTACATGCATAATTGAAGCAAAAAAAAGCTGAAAGAGTGGGTCTAATTTGTCTAATTATTCAAAGCTTTGCAACAGTTTCATTTTATCCAATTTTCAACATGTTTGCAGTGGTAAAATAACGGTAGCATTGTTTCAATTTCACCGGTTTGCAACAGTGTTTTTTTTTCGCTTTCAATTCTCAAAATTTTGTCTATAAATATTGTTAACGTTTTCTCAATTTCTTACTCTCCCACTCCATCATTTCTTCTACTGTATCATTTGTTTTCTTTAACCTCTTATCTAATTTTTTAAAGTGTTGTGTATTTGTTTAATAATTATGTAATTATTTTTAGAAAATAACAATGTATTATTTTTGAAATACATAAAAATATATACTATTAGTTTTCAAAAATTAATAATATTATTTTTTCAGAAAATAAAAAATTTTTAGAATGCAAAAATTTCAACAAAAGTTAATAAATTTGTTTTCCAAAAATAAATGAAATTACTTTTCAAAAAATAGATTTATTTATTTATGAGATATGTGTTGAGAACTATTAAGATAAATACTTGATTTGATTATAGGTTCATGCTATTATACTATGCAGAGTGTAATTTATAATGAGTGATAATATAATGAAAGATGGGATAATAAAGTGATGATATAGCATATATATTGCACTCTTTATCTCAAGAGTGCAATTCAATGTAAATGCCTTAGGACACCTTCAAGACTCTTTCTTGTTTTCATATATTTTTTTTGGAAAAATCGTTCAAAACGTCCCTCACATTTTATAAGACGACTTTTTTCGTCCCTCACTTTTAAAAGTGTAATTTTACATCCCTTACAAATTCACATTGACCAAATTTGGTCCATATCTAGGTTTCCGACTAGTTTTTGGTCGGAATCCACCCCGTGACTTGCATGTGATCATTTTTTAAGGGCAAAATTATCAAATCAAATTTTTACATAATCTGATTCATAGTCCCTCACATTTCACAAAATAAATTTTTTCGTCCCTAACATTTTACAAAATGAGTTGTTTCATTCCTCACATTTGAAAAAATGAATTTTTCCATCCCTCATATTTTTCAAAATGAATTTTTTCATCCCTCATTGATCATGTATACGAATAGCTTTTTTTCTATAAATCCACGTATATGCCTATTTTATTTTACCTAAACAGTATGAATAACATATAATTTATCTCTATTGGATTTCATCTAAACATGCTAATCGTAGTTATACGCATGCTATTCAATAGATATATATAGGGGTTTAAAACTAATAATTTTGTATGAAACCCATGTATATATTTATATGATTTCACCATTTGAACCTGTTCAATATTTGTGACATTTCTCTTTTGGTAATAATTTATTTATTGAGTTGTATAATAATGTCATCTAATTAATGGGTCCTAACTCGAATTCTATAATCGTGCTAACAAATTTCAGTTTAAATCTGAAATTTCTACTAGACACTTTTAAGACCAACAGTTGAATTACTTACCTTGTGATTGTGTTAAAATTTGAAAGTGCCAATCACTTATTTTTTTTGTCATACTTTTCTTTTGTTTAGTTTTTCTATCCAAATTTAATTCGATATAAACACTAGGATTAAATGTCTTCTTTATTTTCAAATTTCGAGTAAAAGAAAATGAATATAAGTGAAAAACTAACAATTTTTTTAAACCCATGTATATATCTATTTGATTTCACTTGAGCAATACGAATAGTGTGTCATATATCTCTATTTGATTTTACATGCTATTCGTACTGTTCAGGTGAAATCAAATAAATATATACATGGATTTAAAAAAAATTATTCACACACATGATCAATAAAAGATGGAAAAATTCATTTTGAAAAATGTGAAGGATGAAAAAATTCATTTTGTGAAATGTAAGGGACGAAAAAATTTATTTTATGAAATGTAAGGGATTATGAATCGAATTATATAAAATTTGATTTGACAAATTTGCCCTTAAAATATGATCACGTGCAAGGCACGTGGTGAATTCCAACCAAAATTAGTCGGAAACCTAAGTAGGGACCAAATTTGACCAATGTGAATTTGTAAGGGATGTAATACATTTTAAAAAACGAGGGACGAAAAAAGTTATTTTGCAAAATATGAGGGACGTTTTGAACGATTTTTCCATTTTTTTTCGGGTTAAGCATCCAGATTTATCTTACGCTACTCCTATACTGTGGGAAGGAGAGTGCCCAACTAAGTTGTGTGAAGGCACAAGAATATAGATATACGTACCATCATTATTACAAGTACATGAATTTAGAAGTTATATGAAAGAAGTTCTTTCAAAGAACTAGTAAATTCCAAGAGATACATGAATCTAAGAATGAATCTAAAAGGGAATGAATGTATTAATGAAGCTTAGGAAAAATGCGTGAAAAACACTTAAATTTAAGGCACAATTTCTAACACAAATATGTTATAATCAAAAGGGAAAATCGTTCAAAACGTCCCTCACATTTTACAAGATGACTTTTTTCATCCCTCACTTTTAAAAATGTAATTTTACATCCCTTACAAATTCACATTGACCAAATTTGGTCCCTACCTAGGTTTCTGACTAATTTTTTGCCGGAATCCACCACATGACTTGCATGTGATCATTTTTTAAGGGCAAAATTGTCAAATCAAATTTTTATATAATCTGATTCATAGTCCCTCACATTTTACAAAATGAAATTTTCTATTCCTCACATTTTTCAAAATGAATTTTTTCATCCCTCATTGATCATGTGTATGAATAGCTTTTTTTCTATAAACCCACGCATATGCTTATTTGATTTTACCTGAACAGTACGAATAACATGTAATTTATCTCTATTGGATTTCATCTAAACATGCTAATTGTAGTTATACACATGCTATTCAATAAATATATATAGGGGTTTAAAACTAATAATTTTGTTTGAAACACATGTACATATTTATATGATTTCACCATTTGAACCTATTTAATATTTGTGACATTTCTCTTTTGGTAATAATTTATTTATTGAATTGTATAATAAGGTCATCTAATTAATGGGTCCTAACTCGAATTCTATAATTATGCTAACAAATTTCAGTTTAAATATGAAATTTTTACTCGACACTTTTAAGACCAACAGTTGAATTACTTGCCTTGTGATTATTTTAAAATTTGAAAATGCTAATCACTTATTTCTTTTTGTCATAATTTTCTTTTGTTTATTTTTTTTGTCCAAATTTAATTCGATATAAACACTTGATAATATTTAGGATTAAATGTTTTCTTTATTTTCAAATTTCGAGTTAAAAAAAATGAATATAAGTGAAAAACTAACAATTTTTTTAATCCATTTATATATCTATTTGATTTCACTAGAGCAGTATGAATAGTATGTAATATATCTCTATTTGATTTCACATACTATTCGTACTGTTTAGGTGAAATCAAATAGATATATACATAGATTTTAAAAAAATTATTCACACACATGATCAATAAAAAGATGAAAAAATTCATTTTGAAAAATTTGAAGGATGAAAAAATTTATTTTGTGAAATGTAAGGGACGAAAAAATTTATTTTATGAAATGCGAAGGATTATGAATCGAATTATATAAAATTTAATTTGACAATTTTGCCCTTAAAATATGATCACGTGCAAGACACGTGGTGAATTCCGACCAAAAACTAGTTGGAAATCTAAGTAGGGACCAAATTTGACCAATGTGAATTTGTAAGGGATGTAAAATTACATTTTTAAAAGTGAGGGACGAAAAAAGTTATTTTGCAAAATGTGAGGGACGTTTGGAACGATTTTCCCTAATCAATATGCTTGGTCACATTATACACTTCTATCTAATTTGAATGTCTAACTTCTCTTGCTATTTCTTCCATAAGAATATTAAATCTATTTAAACGAAGACTTTAAACTAGAAATATTCGTTTGTACATTTTATACACCAAAAAATGATGGTCATATGTTGTAAAATCTTTTTTGAGTTCACTGGGCTAATGTAGCAAAGTAAGTTCCTCATTTTCTCTAAAAGCAAATATGTTTTCAACTTTCTCTTAATATCTACATTCAAATATTTACAATTGAGTTAATTAAGTTACTCGATAATTACTAATATGAAACAAAATGAAAGTTAAAGCTTTAATTTAATAAACGAGTTGAAATATATAAAAATCATGTATCAACTCTCAAGCTTTATTCTAAGCGCAAAGGGTAAAGAGTATATTGATGGACAGAGTACGAGTAAAAATTGCAGTTTTTAGTCCCATGTATGCTTGGCTAGTCTTACTATAGCGTAGTATGTTTCACTTCAAATAATATTTTCTTCCTTAAGAATTGCATACTTCTCATTTAGATATTCAATTCTTAATTTTTTTTGACATATTTGATCCCTTTTATTTCTAACATTATACCTTGAAAAGCATGTTGGATGCTGGAGAGTGGATTCGAAGTGCAAATTTCATAAAGATCAGAGACCGAATTTAAAAAATTAAAAGGTAGAGGACTTAAGTTAAATTTTTTATACCTTAAGGAATCACATATGGTAAAGTTGCAATATGGGGAACTAATAATGAAATTATTTTATCATACGAGGAACCAAGACTGGTTCTTCCTACATTTTCTTTAATCTGTGCTTTGCCCCATATGTGGTAGACAAATCACATCATAGTTTTCTGCCTCTAGAGAATTTGAAATGTATCATAATGTGGCTTGTTATATAATGAGAATTTTAGCGTACCAAGTACCCTAGAAGTTTAGTGTATCAAATGCTCTTGAAAGAGTTGTAATATAGGAAATAGTTATGTTCGGATTTCTATTTTTTTTTGGAGTTTTTTCTTGAAAAATATATTATAGCAATTTGATGTATGTATCAAAAAAGTAATCAAAAATGTGTCCGCGAAAAACGTGAAAATATTTTCTTAGAAAACTGCAATCCAAACAAAGGTAGTTTAGCACCAGGAGACACGATGAGCTTGGTTTCGCACCAGGGGACATGATCTGCGAATTTTGTTATCCTCCTCTAATCAGGTGCTCCCGCATTTATGCCCACCTTTCCCTTCAAATTCAGGTCAGGGAGAGTTTCTCAGCAGAAGATCCTGAGTCTATTTTCAGTACTTGAGTCTCCTTTCTCTCCAGAAGCAATTGAGTCAGGCCTCTCAAAATAATATCAGCCTCATCCTTCTTGATCACTTGAACTTCATCAGGAGACACTTTATTCATCTTTACCAGGTCTTTGATTGCTTCAAGGCTGATTACGTTTGTCTCTCCCTCATTTCCGCCTTCTTCCTCAAGCTCAAGGGGAACTGCAGCTTCGGGTGCTTGTTGATTACTTTTATGATTTTCAAATTCGACATTTTTCTTTTTTTCCTCAAGGAACTCAATCAGGCCTTCTAGTGCAGTTTCAGGCTCACCATTCTTCAATAACTGCTCCCCTACCTCTGCAGGAGTCACCTTTGTAACTTTCATCAGCTGCTCAACAACCAAGAAGAGTGGATGATCTGTGATTCCAAGGTAATTGGAAGCAAGCAATTTGAAACCGCACGGGGTGCAATACGGCATGTAAATGTGCACATCCATACGACCAGGGCGCAATAATGCTGGATCTAGCTTATCTTTATGATTAGTTGTAAACACTATGATGCGCTCATCCCCACAGCTCGACCATAGTCCATCAATGAAGTTCAGCAATCCAGACAAGGTAACCTGGAAAGATGGTGAGTTAGAAAAGATTTTAATTAGTGCTGACAATCTAATTTCTCCATGGCTGTAATAAATATGTGCATCTCAGGGAGAGATGACTGCAATTACTCGATTCATAGTGAAAATGGAACCTACACTGTCAAATCAGGCTACAAGGAACTGTGAAAAGGGTTAACTGATCAAGAGGAGAGAAGAGGAGCTGAGGGAGAAACCAGCTCAGCTAAATCTGGCAGGAAAAGCTGGAAGGTACTGTGGAAACCGGACATCAAGTGCAAGCTAAAACACTTTATTTGGAGGTGTATCAATGGAGCATTACCAGTCAATGGACTAATACATTGAAGAACTCAGACTGGTGATCCAATCTGTAAAGGATGAGGAGAGCAAGAGGAATCTATTGATTCCATTGCAGAAAAGCTCAAGAGGTATGGAAAATGTCACCAATACAATGGGATGGAGTAGTAGAGCATACAGGGAACTTTTTAGCTTGGTGGAATGCTGTTATGGGAGCAACAAGCAGGATAAATTGCATGGCCCATATAGAGTTGACAGCCAATATACTCTGGCAAATCTGGAAAAATAGAAATGATTGGAATTTTAATGCCAAACAAAGACATCCAATGAAAGCTGTTCAAAAGGCACAACAGGAATGGCAGGAGCAGGTAACAGTCAGAAGAAAGAATGAGAGAATGAGCTCTGCTGATATCAGTGGAGCCAGGGAAGAGCCAGTAGCAGTAGAAGAGGGGAGTGCAGATATTCAAATCCGAGTAACAACTCAAGTGCAGAAAGATTCAAGCAGAGTTGGGATGGGGATCATTGCAACTAACAGCAATAAACAGGTGGTAATAGCTTGGGCACTTAATGACAGAAGATCAGGAAGTCAACTACAGGTTACTGCTAAAGCTGTTAAGCTGGCCATCATCAAGGCCAAAAAACAGCAGTGGCAGGAAATTAAAGTACGTATCCCCATCATCCAAGTGCTGAAGGAGATAACATCAAGGAAAACCAGGGACATCAGAATGGCAACATTAATCGATGATATCAACAATCTGAGGTCCTTATTCCAGAAATGCTCCTTTTGTTTGGATAGGATTATAGATCATAGATGTAAATTGATTAATGATTATGCTTTAGGCATCTTTCAAGATGAGGAATGGATTAATCCTCAGTGTACTTTGCACTTTGTATAGCATCACTTGAGCCTTTGCTCATATAAGTGTACATCTTTTGCCCATCAATACAAATTATATCGTCGCTGAAAAAAAAAAGTAATAAATATATGCAAGTATCTAAGTCAGACCCCAAGAGACTGACAAGGAATTCTGTGAATCTCCAGCCCTTGGTACTTCACTAACGAGAAATGGCAACTGGCATTTGGGTACCTGGCTAGGAGTCTAAGACATACCGTTGTAGATGGAACTTGTTTAGACATTCAATTTAATCGCCTTAAACCGTGATTATCACTTTCTGCCAACTTGTATGATAACATATATGCTTGATAGTCTTCTGGTATATGGTATTTGCCAAAGCACTCTAGTTTGTCTATGTGTCAAGAGTTCATCAAGCAATTTCAGCTCACGCAAAGGAGAGAGTCATGCAATGGGCAAAACTGAAACAATATGTATACCCTCGTAATAAAGCACACTGCAAGATTTAATGCTATGTTACTCCAAAGCAGCACAAATCACGTTGGAAACTTACCCTGTTTTCTTGACCATATTGGTGAGGGTGCACAGGTGCCCTCGATGCTTTTGGCCGGTTGTTCGTGAGCTCAATCGAGCAATCAATGTCCTCCACGACGAGTATCGACTGATTAGCTGTTGAAATCAGATACCTTCTCAGATCAGAGTTGGTCCTGATATCAGTGAGCTCCAAGTCATAGATATCAAATTTTAAATAATTGGCAATGGCTGCAATCAAACTTGATTTCCCTGTTCCTGGTGGCCCAAACAGCAAATACCCTCTTTTCCATGCCTTCCCAACTTTCCTATAAAGCTCTTTCCTTTGGACAAAGTTCTCAAGATCATTGATAACCGTCTTTTTATCATCTGTATCCATCGCCAACGTGTCAAATGTGGCTGGATGATCAAGATTAACTGATTGCCACGGATTACCCCTATGTCCCATCATCCGATCATTTCCCAACATAAACAATTTCAGTGTCTTCTTTTCAACTTCAACAGCCTTGGATCTTTCCAAAACATAAGGCAAGTACTCACCAATAACCATTTCCTTATGCTTCTTGTGAAAGATTAATTCATAATACCGGTGTTCAGATATCATTGTCGAATTGTAGTCACCAGGCATCGTAACGTATCTCGGTTGAATCTGCTTACAAACCATCCTCCATTTTAGCTGGATGCCGTTAAATTGTTGGGTGAGTTCTTCATTGCTTTCCATGTAAACGTTGATTTTCTTTTCTTTTTGAGGCAACGTGGCTCGAAGCCTTTTGGTGGACGGACTTAGAATGGATCCCAAGTAAACTTCTGCAGCCTTGAAGAGTAGATTTTGGCCGAGGCCATCGTATTCATCGATGGCTAAGATGACTTCATTGGAGAATGCTGTGAAAAGCTGGTGAACCTTGGTGAAGAAGAAGTGTCTGAACTCCTGGGGGATGATATCATTGGCGAAGGACCTAATAAGCATGGCTGTGGCAGTTACAGAGGCTGCAGCAGAGATGATTGCTTTGGTTGATGGTATTTGGATGTTTGAAGGCATGGCTGACTGTTGAAAAATTTATGCCCTTTGGGGAATTGTTTTCAGGAAGGCAGATCAATGGGGTTTGATGTAGCTTAAGAGGGTTCCAGGTACTCCAAATATAAACAAAGAATCAAGAGGAATGACGCTGAGATTCAGTGGAATTCTTCTTGGAATTTTTTTGTTTCGAATCTGTGAAGCTGGAATGACAAGGAAATTAAGCAGAAATAGAAAAAGTCTCGAATAGTACTATTATTGGACAGTAAAGATTGAAGATTTTTGGTAGACTTTAGGAAATGGGGTTTTCTCAAGAATTAAATTATGGTGTTAGTTGGGGAAAGACTAAAGAAAAGGCAACTGATCACTCAATCAGCAAAGACTTCTACCAAGACTCCCAAAGTCTTCTTCCCCTTCTAGATGACGTTTCTGACCAGCAACGCCTGTTTCTTCAGCCAATTAATGACTCCAATCTTCAAGTGATGTACCCTCCGAGTTCTTTTCCTTTCTTCATATTCCAGACTTAAGATTAAACTCTAACAGGCCTTTTTTCCTGTATACCTAATAGGTTTTAAGCTAGCCAGAAACAGAACATATCCAATAAATTCGTTTATTGCACAATTTCTAATGCAACTAAAATTGGATTTTCCTGAGGAATACAAAAAACTTGAACAATTGCTTACCTTTTCAAAAAATTTGGTTATTGCAATCCTTCTAATGTAGTCAAATCTTCAATTTCTTGAGAACTTCTGAGATGACCTTTTCAAAGAACTTATACTGACTAGTGGTCTAAGAAGGAAGTTGCTTCATTTAAATAATAAGTGTCCAAAAAGAAGGGTAGAAAAAGTATAGAAAGGCAATGATCAAAGCATGTCTGAGTGATCAAAGAAATGTTCTCTAAAAGAAGACTGTTGGGAAAGCTGCTTTTAGCTTTTAGCCCTGAGAACAATGCTAAGGATTGAGCACAACAGAACAAATATAACAGAAAATAAACACTCTCATAAAATAAGTACTGGTACAAAGAAAATTTAAATTTGACCTTTCACTAATTACCCATTGTCCTTATGGTATCCAAGAAAAAAAAAAAAAAAAGGAACAGCAACCCCTTGATAAATATAATATCCGCCAATAAATGAAAAAATAGGGAAATGAACAGACCGTTTAAGGTAAATAAATAGAAACCATTTTACACATCTTAATTTCAATCATCTGGAGCAACAAGAATATAAGCCTTGTGTCTGCTTTGTACCGTCACTCCCATCGTTGACAAGGCTAATCCGATTGACAGATAATTCCGCTTTGTAAGAATCAGAGTTCAGTACCTTCCTGCTAACGTTGTTGTAGATCTCTCGAATAACCATCTCAAAAGCTGTTATAACGTTTGTTGAATCTAATGCAGATGTCTCCATGAAGAACAATCCTTCTGATTCTGCAAGACTCTTGCCTTCCTCCACGCTCACATCCCTTATATTCCCCAAATCACATTTGTTCCCGACAAGCATCCTTGCAACAGTCGTATCAGAATGAGCTGCAAGATGATAACTTAAAGGTCATTGGAAACGCAGAGGGTAATTATACGATGAGAATGATAGACCATGAAATTGATTCCGAAAGCAAGAGACCGTAGCTTGAGAACCATACCCATGCACAAAAGATATTCAGTGACCGCAACTTCCACAACATACCAAGTGGAAAATGAAATCATCAATGTCATTGTTTAGGAGAAAAATATACTTCCCTTCTGACAGTACATCCGTTTTGACAATTAAACAAAGAAGATAACTATCTTTTCTGCCTCCCTGATATAGGCGTCCAACACGCATTCCTCTTAAAACCCCCAATAGCACTTTCCTCAGGCTTGTAGAGGGGCATTTGATCATGGAATGATAAAGAAATTGCTCAAAGAATCCCCTTCGAAAATATCTTTGCAGGAAAAAGATTGAGAAAGGGGTAGAGGTGCAGGCAGGCAAATATCAACATAAACCACAACCCAATATAAACAATGACATGGGATGGGTTGAATCAAATTAACTAAACAATGACATCAACAACAGCATTAAAGTAGAAAAAACAAACAAGCACAGGACAGCATCACTTGTAACTGTGGCAAACCCAAATTGGAAAAAAAAAAACCGTGGGACCTAATCTGCTAAAGAATCTCCACTGCAAAAACAATTGGTATGCGAAGGTGTCTGCAAGAACACGTATATGATCACAACATTAACTGTAAAGTGTATCTAATGCAATTTCCTAACCAAAAGTTACAATTTCAAAGGAAGTGACTCGAGAAGGATCTTACTAAACAAGAGGAATATGAAATTATAATCAAAACATTGTAGAGTTGGGGATAAAATTGCATGGCTAAAATGTAGTCACAATCGGACTTACTTCACCATTCCACGACTTCAAAATTACAGCTTATACTTTCTTTACCTTTACCTCTTTGTCCCAATATCAACTGTGTCTCTCTTTGTTCTTCTTTCTTCCCTATTGCATTCTCTCAAGCAAAGTTATTAAACCCAACCCGACCAGACGATTGAATTGGTCAACTCAGTGACCCAACCATGGGACTGGGATGGCAGACTAGACCAACCACATAAGGACAGCAGCCATTTGGACCCAGTGAAACCTACTGGTAAATTGGGAGACTGGGAACTCAGCTGGTTTGAGCAAACATCCCAAAATGACTTCTTTAAGCCAAACTTTTATCATTCAGTAGAGAATCATATCACTTTCCATCTTTTTGCTCTTTATTTCAAACTTTTCAATTGATTTCTTATAGTTCACAAACATACTTCTGCTATTCTACAGCTTCTAGCTATCCAATATAAAACCAGAAGGACAACAACAACAAACTTACATTTGGAACAAGTACATTTTGATTTAGAAATTTGACCATGCAACTTATTACAAGTTGGAATTATCAAAACAGTTGGTTTGTATCTTTCAAAATCTTAATAATTTGAATGTTAATAACTGAATTATATTGTTGTACTATGTTATGGAAACCAAAAATTCAACCAGTGATCCATCGGTTGAAAAATTAATCCGCTGACCAGCCCCATGCCTGGTTGATGGTTGGATTAATTTTTTAACCATTTCTAACTTGACTAGCCTCACTGTGTTTCCTTTCCTCAAGTCAAAGTTGATTAAGTTTAAGTGATTTGCTTTTGCTTTTCTTTGGGCCACCCAAATGGGATGGACCCAAGCCCAACAATCTCCTCCTTCAACTTGTACGAGGGCACCAGCAATCTTGCTCCCCATCTGCAAAACAAGAACTCCTCTCTTACTCAACATTTCAGCACCATCAACTACATGTGCTTTTTCAAGTGACAATAGCTTGAATTGCTAAGCTTGGATCCATCTCACTTGAGTGGCCCAAAGAAAAATAAAAGTTCATCACCTAAAAATAATCAATTTTGACTTCAGCAAAGGAAGGTCAGGTGAGACTAATCACTTCAGAGAACGCATAAGTAGTGTGAGCACAAAAATAATGAAGAGAGAAAATTGACATTGGCATATGAGCTCCAGAGATAAATTAAAGCAGCAACTTTGAATCCATGATCCAAAGGTGAAACAAAGACCATTGAAATGAAATTTTAGTCACATAATCCTCTCATCAAACTCTACACATGTAACCATTCCAATCTTCAGATTCCTCTTTGTTGGTTAACATACTTCCAAACCCTCTTCTTTTGAAGTTGTACTTTTTGGAAGAGAAATTGTAGTAGGTCCATGATGTTAATGTTTTTGTCATCTAATTGTCCCAGATAGACCTTTGTATCGTGTTATTTTCAATGTGGAGAACTTTTAGCTAGACTAGGTCCAATGATTTTTCCTAGAATGGGTTTTCCATAGGTTCTCTCAAACTCTTGATATGATGATGCCTCAAATTTGACAATGGAGTTCTGTTTAAGAGATGCTTTCTGTGATTCATCAAATGCCATATGAATCTTTAGGAGTTCATGCTATCTCATTATCTCTTTTCTCGATAGTTATCTATCTACTGCATTAGACAGCTAAAAGGCACAAAACAAGGATCAGAGAATTTTGGTGACCAGACAAAAGCAATAAGGATACAAACCAGTTAGTGGAGAAGTGGTCAGACCTCAATTTGAAAGGGGACTGGCCTTGAGAGTTAGAGGAATAGTATAATGCTAACTTGAAGAACTATAGGGGGATTTCTAATTAGGATGGGGGCTCTCTCTGTCTCAGACACACACACACAAATGATGGTTTCAAAACCCATCGTAAAGCTGCTCCTTAGATCCTCCATCAGTCGATTCATTTATTGTCTATATGTGTGTGTGTGTGTATCTGTAAGACAGTCAAGCTTGGATCCTGGGATTCTTGATCATGGCTCAATTATAAGTCTGGTTTCTTCTCTTTGAAAAATACCTAGTCTTACATCCTCAATTTCCTTAAATATTGTTCTATGAAAATAGACAATCCCAGCCAAACAACTCTCGCAGGTTGGTAAGAAGTTACTCTTCTTTGGTAGGGCAAGATTCAACAAAGAAAAGAGAGTGCTCGACTAGAATAACAGCTTTAGAGACCGTAACTGCATAGATAACAGCTTCCCCCCTTCTCTATATTTAAGCTGAACTGTATGGCTGCTAGAAAGAAAGACGACCACACCTTCTTGTAAATGGTGTCAACAAGAGGCATTTTAGTATCCCCCATTGACCTTTTGTATAAACAATTTCAATGAGTGGAGACAAGCAATCTTATTTAGAAAGGTGCTCGTCAAGTAATGTCGGCTTTCGAGCCCAAACCCAACTTTTCAATGTTGGGTGGTTAAGTGCATCTTACTTATATCAAAGCTTTCCTTTGGTTTTTAAAAAATAATAGGACATTTTACTTAGGATTGGTAACGTGCACCCTCACGTTTTCTTCGCTTGCTTTGTAGTAGTGGAAATTGCCAAAACTTAATCTACAAAAAAGAGTTCGATGCAGATAATACTCGATTGTTAATCATGCATTTAGGGGAATATAATTTAAACTTGAACAATGGCTTTATGGTTTTGAGAAATTTTATTGTCTGAGTCTTGAGGATGAAACCGTGGAGGGCAGAATGGAATACCTAGCCCCAAACTATAATTGTAGTTTGGTCCTTTAACTATTAACTGGGGTTTATTATGCAATAAGCTAACAATTTAGAGACTTATTGGTAAAACAATAGAATTTTCCATGCCTCACTGAACCCATCAACACACACTCTCCCCTTCGTCATTTGTTTTTCCCCCATTTTATTTGCTTTTCTTCTCCTTCCATTTTTCTCTCAAATGCACTGAAAGTTGAGGCTCAATTCATCATTAACAAAGCCTCAATACTATGCACGCAGCCCAAAGTCTTCTTACGCGTGACTTGAAGTAATAACTCCTCAATTATGATGATCTTTGGTCACCGGATGTACCCGCGATTGACAAAGGTAATGGATTACTATTAATAGCAGTTTTAATATTATCAATATTTCTCTGAATAAATTCACTAGTTGGGGTTTATTGTATATCTAATCCAAAAAACTTAATTAATTAGACATAATATTAAAAGCCTAGTAAAATCTCCATTAACCTCTCCAAATCAATTTTATTTGTAATCCAACTACCCCAATTAAAGCTAAGCATGAATACCAATGTATAACAGGCTTAAGAAGGTAAATAACCTCCAATCTACCAAAACTAATGCAATCAACGTCTAGAAATTCTAAATTGAGAGAAATCTTGAAAATACAGAAAAATGTTGTGAAATAGCAACTTGTCGTCTTTGACAGTTGATTGCGGACATGTCTAGTGACCAAAAACTGAGAAGTGAGGAAGAGATTCTTCGAGTCATGGGAAAGAAGGATTAAAGGCACATGCACAGTATTGAAGCTCCAGTAAATACGAATTGAGCCTCT